TACATTAATTGTCCTGTTTAATTTCTTGCATATCTTTTTGGTGAATATGCAAGAACTCCATCTTAATACACTCCATCTTAATTTTAGAATAATCCAGCCAAGGATATTCAAATAATAAGTATATTTAAATTTTATTGCCAAATGAAGACCTGGAAATGCGCACTTTACTGTTGGAGCCCAAGTGTTTTCAAGAAAACTAATTTTTTCTACATTGCGTAGTGGTCAGCACGCTCGACGCGAATTCGAGAGGTCCGTGGCTCGAGTTATGGGGAGGGCATTGCACATTTTTCATCGCTCCTGCTTAAAAAAATTCCTAATGTCTCTACACTGGCGCCCGAATTAAAAGGGGTGGTGGATGATGATTCTCCACCACCAGGATTTGGCGACTGGGTTCCCTAATCCCCAATTGCCCTTTACAAGGGGGAGTATATAAGATATTTCTTTCGCCCTCTTAGCATGCCTTCGTGGTGTAGTGGTCAGCACGCTCGGCGTGTATTCGAGAGGTCCGTGGCTCGAGTCCCGGCGAGGGCATTGTTAATTTTTCATATCTCCTGCTTGAAAAAAAAACTGTCTCTACAACTGTCTTTGAATAAAATACCAATAACATATTGATCTACTTTAAATATTATTTTAAAGGTGGGATAGGATTCCCCGAAAAAAAAAAAAAAAAAAAACTTAGAGATCTAAGGGTTCCGTGGGTGGATAAAATTTGAAAACGACTGCTGTACTCTAACGTTACAAGTTAATAATTGGATTATAAGAAAAAAGATGAAATGAATGTACTCGTTTTAGCAAACTTCAATCTGATATTAAAATAAAATTGTTAACCGAACGGCAAACATGAACGCTAAAACGATAGCCAATACCGTTTGACTATGGAATAATGTAATGACATTTTCTCTTCAGTAGTACGTGTAACGAGAGATGTCAAATCATTGTCGAAGTAACAAGGCCCTGGGGTCCTACAGGAATCCAAGTGCCCGTTTCTTAATTTTTTGTTTTCAAGAGTTGTTTTGCCAAATGAAATCTCATCCGGGGCATAGGCTTGAGTTAGAGGTTAGCAGCAAGACCCTAGCTGGTGCTTAACTGTCCTGCAACATACCGTATTTGCCTGAGTATAAAACGCATTTTTTTCCTTTAAGAATAGGTCTGAAAAATGGGGCGCGTCTTATACGTCGATACTCAGTTTTTGAATACATTCATTTCTGGAAATTTTCTCTAATCGGAGTTATGCAATTTTTTTCTTGTTTCCTTGCGGAGTGTGGAAATATAACAGTTATGTCGAGCTCAGTGAATGCGCATGCGCTGTCATCGACAATCAAGCTGGGTTCGTTTAAACTTTTCTATTTTTGTGAAAGATTTTTAAGTGTCTGAAATTTTTATTGTTCAATTTTCTTAAATTTGTTGGCACGTTATGGCTCAAAAACAACGTCGGCATAGCTATAACATAGCATACAAGCTAAGTGTGACTGCGTATGCTAAAGAACATGGAAACAGGGCTGCAGAAAGGCATTTTGGGCTACCCTCAGCTTAAGAACTTGGCGGAATTATAATGATCAGTAACAAAGTTTTATCCGTAAAAACTGTGTATGAAAAAGGGGGTGTTCCTTATAAGCCGGTGCGTCTTATACGCCGGCAAATATGGTACTTTAATACCATATGTATGAATACCAAATTTATAAATGTAATAAATTTGGATCATTCGGTTAACATACCCCATTGTTTCGTGGAGCGTGCTTTTGATGTGTATGAATAGCATCTTCTTTATCCATATTCAGCCATTTTCTAGCATGCTCTTTCTTCTCCACTGCATATTTATCCACTGCATAGTGAATAATAGGGATGAGCATTAACAAAATAAGCATACGTATTCTCTTCCAATAAGAGAGAAACTAGAGGATAAAGCAATTCAAAAAGACCTCATTCAATAAGAAAATTAGAAAAATAATGCCGCCATCAGTATTTACCAATTTTGGAAACAAGAAAAAATTTTGGAGTTTGCACTTTGCGGTCTCTTCGCCGCCTAACCCTGGGTACTTCACTAATAAGAAGAATGAAGTGAAATGTAGAGTCTTTTCTTTGTTTCCAACCTTTTTGCTTCCAATAGGATTGTAAGAGCAATAAGTCATAGAAACATAATAACTTAAGTTTGTTTGTTGGTGTTTCTTTGTAGGTGGTGGTTAGAAAGAAATGAAATTACACCACGTTGTAGGGTTTCTCAATCGAAGAGGGAGGAATTCCTCGTTTAAGAGAATTTCATGGTTTCAAGGGGGAAATGCAGTCAGCCTTTTAGCTACCTGTTAAATACTTAGTTTTAGTTTATGAATATAAAAAACTACTTTTATTAAAATTTTGCTATTTATCAACGCTTTTTTCATTTCTTGTTTAATTTATAAAAACATTAAAAATAATCTAAATTTAAATTAATATAAATATATTTTTCGAAATCGGGGGATGATCATCTAGCATGGCGAAAGGGGTATATAGGGCGAAAAATACTGAGAACCACTGGTACGTAGTATTGTTGAATCATTTGCATATTTAGCAAAGATACTTTCGGGAGGTTCTGGAAGATCTACTCTTAGGTCTCCAACAAATCTTTCGATTCGATTTTCTTCATTACATATAAATAGCCGAATGTCTACACAATAGCTGATTTTTAAAAAATTTTCTATACACTATTGAAACAAACTTTATCTAGTTTATTTCGATTCTTCATAGGTTATTCTATTGTGTGATCAAGTCCCATGAGTTTTGAGGTTGATTGAATGCAAATTTAAGTTTGAAGTATGCACATAACATTTCTGCATAATCTGTATATTTACCAAAATGCCTAATTGTAAATCTTCAAAACCACTAATGTATAAATTGAACGGAGTAAGTGCCAGGAAAGATCCTTTAGGTTCTCCCGACTTAATATTTTTTTTCAAACTGTAAGATCTATACTTATAGGTATGAAAATATAATTCCTCTCATAAGTACTCATGTATTTGTATTGTTGCGTGCGTACGGGTTCGTAATAAATTGAATGCATAATCCGATGAAAAGTGAATAAAATGTATTCTTATCACAGCAAATGAAACAAAATGCTGAAATTTCCTCAGAAATATTCGTACGATATTGCAATATCTCTCAGTAGTTATATTTTAAACTACATTCAAAACTCCATTCAAAATAGAGAAAGCTAATCCGATCTCACCGCGAATTCGCTACAATAAACCACAAGAATTAAGTAAACAACTGCTAAACAACTGAATCGAGATGTTTTCCTCCAGCTTTTATAAGCTTTTTAATCACGCACGAGAAGTTTCTCGTAATTTCTCGAATTTTCTGTAAAGCAAAACAGTACAATTACGAGATAGCGCATGCTCCTGTATTTTAACTTTTCCTGCGTAGCTCTCTCTTCAGATTGCACAGTTCCTCACTTCGTAATTCTAAGTTGATGTTGGAAGTGAAAAATTTAAGAACTGATAAGCTAATAATCGCTTAAGTTCGGTGACAAGAAACAATAAGATAGAAGGGTAACTAACCCTTTATTATTCCAATAAGATTTAACAAAACTTCGCCTGGGAGTGTACAAACAAAGCCGCACTTGGGCTTGAACTTAAAAGACTAAAAATTAAACTAAAACTAAGATTAACTAAAGAAATATAGCCGAAGCTATCAAGATTCAAATCTAGTTGGCCCCTTAACTTATTTGACTACGGAGCTTAGCAAGAGCCTGAGTACGGCCGAGCGCAATAACAGCTTTGAGAGAGAGAGTGGCCAAAAAGGCAGACGCGCGTTAAATCAGCGACTCTTATTAGATTATCTCTCAGATTATCTCTGCCTCTATAAGTAACTTCGTGGTTTAAATACCGCTCCTCCTCATTAAATATTCGGCAAGATTCCAAAACTACGTTCTGGGCGGAAGTAGTGAGTTGAAGTTAAGAATTTGACATGAAAGGAATTTAAAATTTAACTGTTAATAAAATTAACATAATGCTCACAAGATAAGTCTCGTGCTGCATTGCACGGGGATATAAAACAATTTTAATTAATTCTGCTAATAAATACAAAAATCGTAACAGTATAATAATTTTTGAGAAGGAGAGCTAAAGGAAGACTGACAGCTGTAAATGATAAACTTGTAAAAGAGACTAGTATGTCACGATTTGCCAAATTTTTTCTCTGTACCAGAAAAACGTGCTGCAGCAAGCGTTTTTCTTTAAAGGTCCGTAGATTCAAGCACTTGATATACTTTTCATTAAAAACAACGAAAGCTAGACTGGATATTTTTGATAATATTTTGTTTGTCCAGTTACTTAATCTTGAGAATGGTTAGCTTTTTTTTTTTTTTTTTTTTTTTTTTTTTAATTTTGAGTTAGCAGGGTGACAAAGAAATTAGCGGAAATCTGAGGATTTTATATTATTATAGTTTATGAAAAACAAAGATTTCTATCATCTTCCAGCAGTTTAGAAAATAATTCAGCAATGAAACAAACTATAATTTTAGATATTTGAATATTCCCTTTTGGATAAATTTTCAAGCGCATGATATGAAATATAATTATTCCCTTCCAGCTACCTAGAGTTTAGATCAGCAGTAATTTTGAAAATAAACGAGAAAATTTCTAGTTCCATCGATTGCATCATAACTTGCAATATTACAGATTTATCTATTAGAAAACATGTAGAAAAAGTTATTTTATATTCTTTTTCAGATGCAAAAAATAGTTCTGTTGCTCTCATGCAATTATCTCTCTCGATAGAAATATATTGCCTCGTTAAATTTTAGTACACACGGTGTTAACAGTCTTAAATTAGTATGAGAGTAGGTATAACAAAAAATTTACTACAGCATGTTTAAATTATATCAACAATTCTACATTTTAGCTTGCTTAGTAATAATAACTTTTACTTTTTTTTTCTATCAGGTAGATTACAAATACATAAATGATTTCTCTCTGTTCTTACATTTAACAGTGAATTACTGAAAATGTTTTAAGTTAAAAACAGACATGACTATAATTTATTTTATAAAATTTAATAGCAAAATGAGGTTTCACTGAATTTGATTTTCAGAATGAGACGAATTTGACGTTTAAGTTGAATGCTGCATGAAAGTGGAAATAGGAGACACCGATGATATTACTGACAAATTGTATCTAGTCTATATATGATAAAAATAATTATGAATTTAAGAACATTTTTAAAACCATAACAAAAATTCAATTCTTTATTGTTATTTAGCGTTATATAAAATGTGATGTACTTCCAAGCATTTCTTAAATACTTAAATACTTTCTTAAATAATAAATTTCTTTTTTAAATACGTTTAATATATATAGACTTTCATAATTTAGTATCATGAACGCAATATTTGTACACAAAATTAGAGCTTCAAAATATTATTTTTAAAAATATGTCAGACTTATTGTCTTCTTATTATTACTATTCTTGGGAATACCGTATGTATTCTAGAAGAGTGAGCATTTCTTGAGTTAGTTCTATTCCGTGAAGCTTTCCCTTCAAGCCACAAAAGTCTACCACTTCAAAAAGATTTTTTTTATACTCTAGAAATGGTCTCCATCTGCAAGAGAAATACTTTAATGAATCAGTAAATTTAAATTTTAGGTACTATACTGAATAGTTACAACATTTATTTACCTAATTGACTCATGCCATTTAAGCATGTTTTTAGCATAATTTTGCACTTAAATGAATGAATGGTGTGTAATATAAGCAAGGAAAAAACTAGACGTTGTATAAAATGTTTGAATCATTATGACAAATATTTTTCTTATAAGTTATTGTTAATTAAATCTTAAGTATTAACTTACAATGATACGTTATGCAATCTTCCTCGATTCTTCGGAGCTTTTATTTTTCTATATCCACTTCCCCCCTTTTTTTTTCTTTCTTTTTTTCTTTTTCTTTCTCCCCACCCCCATTTTACTCTATTCAGTGCAAATAGCCATCAGATCTTTTCCGTTACAGGGCAACACACTGCAAACAATTATCTGTAGAAAGATACTATCTGCGTCAACAGGGAAGAACAGGACTATCGGGAATTCAAGAAATTTCCATAGGCACCTGTGCGTATGCTACTGCTTAGCTCCTTGATTTCGATGGTTTAAAAAATATAAAACACTAATCATAACTGTAAGCTCATTCAGCAGAAAAGGATAAACATAAAGGATATTCAAAAGAAAAAGTCATAATGACGCTTCCCGGCACTCTTGACAACTGTTACTTTCTTTATACCCAACTTCATAAGATGGTCGGCACATTTGTTACACACGGCAATAGTGGGAAAAGGAATGACGTTATGTCAGGGCATTTAGTGTCTTGGACAGAGAAGGTAAACTTGAAAGTATGTCTGTACCTTTGTGTTATCTGATGACTGCCAATGCCAATGATTTTCAAGTTTCGGAGTGCCTATGGTTCAAAACCATTTACCTCCACATCAGAATTACTAAAAGTGAGCAGAAATAGGAAAAATTTTGCATAAGTAATTGACTTGATGCTCAATAGAGGGAGCCACAAGCTCGAGAAAGTTTAGGGATAGGAATACGAAAATAAAAACTTAAACATCATAACTTTTTTTAAAGTTTTTAGGTTTTAATACTTTTATATTTTATACTTTTTTTGGTTTTTTAAATTTTTTAACACAATAAAAACACTAAAGCAAAAAGCGGATAGGAAAGAGTTTACGATTAATAGGCTCATTGGCATGTGGCATCTGGTGACTGTTCACCAAGATTAAGACTTTATCAGGGGCGTCTTATCAGTCCTGATAAGAGTTGCTTCCCTCAGGATACTGAACTTCGTAATGGTATATATATATATATCGTTGTGCCTTTATACCTTGGTGAAAGAAATGTAAGTTGAAAAGGTGCCTGAATCATTTTTCTAGTTCCCTGTGCCGGTTAGACTAACTCCCTCCGCTCCAGAGCCGGGGCCAGATATTTTGCCGCCCGATACTATCTCTGAGAGTCATAAATTATGCTGCCCGGCATCTTCCTAAATGCAAAAACATTACCGCCCTAAATTCTGCTGCTCAGTGCATTCCATAAATTCTAAAAATTTTGCTATTCTTTAAGTTTACTGTTCATTACTCCTCCAAAGTCTAACAATTCTGCAGCTCCTGAATTCTGCCTCCCTGTTCATCCGCTCCGGGTACAAGGGCTCAGGCACCAGCTCTGTCCTGCTTAAACAGAGGTCTTTGTCAAGGGGAACTGGCTCATATCACTATAACAAACAGGAAAAATCATATTAACACTCAGACAGGCAGGCTTCTCCACAGGAGTTTCAGCGTTCTCTACCAATGTTTAGCAGTTTTATTGCTGTTCAGCAGTGGTTTACATCAGTTTGAGGAAGAATCTACTCGCATTTCGTGTAGCAGCATAAGCCAAACTCCGAAACTGAGCACACTCCTATTCGTTTTATTTTGAAGTTTTCTCCCAAGTTATTTTTAGTTTAAACACACAACATGGTTTAATTATTTATCTCTGAACATTGTCAAATATCTGCTATAAATGTAGTACATTCACAACATTGTTTCTTCTGTTGGTATATTAGGAATGTTATAACTAAGCATGCGCAGTTGTAGAGTACTATCCTGCCGGTCATCTGTCCCCCTGCCCAACTGCTACAGAAAATTATAAACTTTATAAGAAGGATCTCATTTACTTTGCTGTTTTAGCTGCTTGTTTTGTTGCAGCAGGCGCCGTTTAATGTGGTTGCAGTTATGTTAGTTAATGTCAGCAGTTTATTGTTACCATTTGGATATTGTTATGGAACTGCTGAAGATTCGCCCATTTATAAACAGAAATATGAAGAATACATCGCTTATGGTGATCCTCAATTCGGTTAATATTATCAAAATGTTATAGAATGAATTTTCTAAACTGAAATATTATCATCAAATAAAAGATAAAATAGTCAGATGAGATCGAAATAGAGCAAAGAGATCGCCAAACGGCAAAGCTATATCGTCAAGAAAGGGATTAAGTCGCCAAAGAACTTGATTTTGATTTAAGGCAGCATTAAAATTTTGGAACTGCGTCTCAGAAAAGATAACAAAGAACTATTTTAAGCATTCCACACTTTTAATAAAGGACAAAATGAAAGAAGGTGAAGAATTAAAAATGTCTCAAACTAACACGAATTTTGAGGAATTTAATGCTTGGACGGATACCGATGAAAACCCATATGCTGCAGATTCAATGACAGAAGACGATATCTGCCTGTAGCTTTCTGAAATAAATCCGAACATTTGATAAACTTTCCAAAGAAGATGACGATGATGAAATCAGTAAATGTTCTACAAATGCTGAAATGAGGAATGCCCTATGGGTTTTATAATTAGGGGTACAATATCTGTCAAACAGTAGCCAGAAGCATTATGAACAGTTCAAAAAGAGAGCTTTTGTGAAAGAATTTCAGTAAACCAACTGTTAATACATTTTCTAGAATTAAAATGCTATGAAAATAAATATTTATATATTTTTAGTTATATTTATATTAAATTATTTAAATTCCATTGATGTTTCTAAAAACACTTCTCTCATTGCTTAATGCTGTCATTTGCTTAATGTTATGAAGATGGTCATAGGCAAGCGTGATCGCAATGTGTGGCGCCTAGTATCTGTTCATCGATGTATGGTTGCTGTTCATGTTTAAAGAAATATCAAGATTACTACTCGTATTAGCATAATTCAGATTGCTACCAAGGCTGGTCACGTGTCAACGAAATAGAAGACTTTCTTGGAATACATTTCGTAAAATATTAAATACATGAAATAATAGAAGTAACGGATATTATTTAATTTCATGCAAAAATAGGGAGCATAAATTACGCAGTGTCATGAATTATGCAAACAAATATGGTGTATTTGTTATTTTTAGAAGTACAAATAAACAAAAATAATTAATAATTTTAAAAAATGAAAATATTACGAAATATGGAAATTAACAAATTTCTGCATTTATTTTACGTCCATTTCTCATAAAATGAACTTAGCAGTGAATGAGAATTTTGTTCTACAGTCTAAGAAGTAAATAGAAGGAAAAATACACATATTATTATAATTATTTCTAATTCTGTGCTTATTGTTTTCATTATTGTTCTGTACCAACTCATTTGTTTACTTTAAGAGTGTATATGATATCATTTTATTCTAATGAATTCGTTTCCTGGAATAAAATAAGTGCCTAGATGTAATTCTGGGTTAAATGTGCATGAATATAAAGGAAGAAAATTTGGAAATATGTCTATTCTGAACAGTTACATTACATCTTAGAAGAGAATTACTTAAGTTAACAGAAATCTATTAAAAATTTGTTCTTAAATAAGTGGTCTCATACATCTCCATTTTTGAATCTTTATTTCATGCTATATTCATATAACGTATGTCTGTTCATTGAAAGAAATACAGATTTTAAAAATTCTACTTTTAAACGAATAACTGTAATATAGTTTCATTCATTCCAACTGGAATTATTGTAGTCTGTTACTTTCAAATAGGAATTTCAAGATTATTTTCCGCCTCCGGATTTTATCCGTAACCATGAGAACAACACCTGCGGAAAAAAGGTCGAGTCGCCTAATTTTGTTTCTCCACTTCATTTCCATTTAGCTTCATGAAAAGCGCGCGAATGGAGGCTGAGATGATTATATTCTCAAATGAATCGCACTGCAAAATAAGCGGTGTAGCACCAGGGTACCTGGGTCAAAGACCCTACCTCTTCTCGAACAGAATAAGTAGTTTGGAATTATGGTAGTAAGTAACTATCAAATAATTAATAAAATATATACATATTTACATGGTTTTTAAAAAAATTTCTAAGTATATTAGGTGAAAGAAATATATTTCAAGACTAAGAAAGCGGTATAGTGAATAAATCTAACAAACTAGAGTGTGCGAATGAATAATCGAAGACTAATGAAAAATGCCATCTGGGGAAAAGTTGAGAAGGGGAATGAGCTGGCGTTAACCTATAAAGACACTTAATAATACAGAAGCTAAAATAAATAAAAGGCGAATACTGTGAGTCTCTTGGTGCATTTAAAGGACAATGTTACATATACAGAATCTTAAATTACACATGCAGTAAGCAAAGGTACAAATCACAGTATAAACAAATTATTCAAGATGGTTACTGAGAATGGCAATAGGCCGTTTGCTGCTATTTAGATTATTGACATCGTAACCATACACCTTGATAACTGAGTTGTTGATGTTTTTAAGATTGTCATAGGGTTTCCGGGTCAGCCCGCAATAGAAATACTTTAATTGTTTTATACGTAATTCTTTATGCATTTTTTTAATTGCTAGCATACGAAGGCGAGTTGGTAAGCTGCCTTAAGACACAATTTTGCGCCTGCTGCAACTTTTTTTTGAAGGATTTACAGGAATATGCCCAAACTGGGAAGGTGTAACATAAGATGGAACGGAATACGGTTTTGTAAATAAGCAACTTATTGTCAATTGATAGTAAACTGTTTCGAGAGATTAGGGGAGTGAAGTGTAATTTTACTAACTCGAAACTTTCTCAGGATAGATGTGATGTGTGGGTTCCATGAAAGAGTTTTATTGAGGATCATCCCAAAATAAGGGACTTGCTTGGCCTATGAGGTTTCTTCTCCATAAAACTATAGGTTTTTGTTGAATTTGTTTTTCTTAGTAAATAAGATTACCTGCGTCTTGTCAATATTGACTTTGATTTTCCACTTTTTCAGCCAAGTCTCGAGTATGTTAATGTATTCTTGTAACCGTTGTATTGTTGGGCTAACAAATGTTCTTTGTGTGAAGGTCGCAGTATCGTCGACATAAATTACGAGTGTTGTGTTATGTGTGGTGGGAATGTCGATCATATAGATATTAAATAATGTAGGTCCGAGGAGGCACCGCTGGGGGACCTCTGCAAGGATTGCTTTGCGTATAGAAAGTGTGTTTGAAACGTGAACGACCAAGTGTCTACCTCTCAGGTAGGATTCAGTTATGTTTGTAATGTAACCTGGGAAACTTAAGTTGTGTAATTTGTATATGAGTGCGTCTAGCCATACACAATCGAAAGCCTTTGCTATATCTAGAAATAGACCTCCAGTGACTTTCTTCTGCTGCAGTCCTTCACTGAGGAATTTAACAACACGATATAACTGGTTCACTGTAGAATGTTTACTTCGAAAGCCAAATTGGTATGGAATTATGATGTCATTCTACTCAAGGTGCTGGTTGATCCTAATAAGTAACACAGCTTCCATGATCTTGCTGAGTGACGACAACAAGTTTATAGGCCGATAGGACTCAGGTAGGCTTATTCTCAAATGAAGTGGAAAAAACAAATGCTGTGCGATGATGACGACATGAGTTACGTTCACATGGGGGTTGATTAAGGGGATGGTGCTGGAAACGGCCTTGAAATCCCTATTTTAAAATAACAGACTACAGAAAGGTCTGCATGTTTTAAATGTTTAAAAATCTTCCTATAAAATTCTAGCAAAGCTTCAGACAGATCAAATTATCACTCACAAACCACTTTCAAAAAACTCCTTTATTTTCCTTTATCTTCCCAACTCTAGACATATAGACTAGTTACAAAAATGTTTTAAATTTTACAAAAATGTTTAAAATATTCATGCATTTTTTTTTGGTGTTTTTAAATTTAAAAACATCAGTTTTGTTAAAAATGCTTTTTGAAATCTAATTTTTTATACTTTCCTTCCTTCCCTATACTTCTGTTTAGGAAAATTTTATACTCCTTATAAAAAATAAGACACAAAAGATTTTAGTCCATGCTGCAAAAATTGACGAGGTATTTGATATAAAAGTCTATTAACATATTCAAGGGCCGTACAAAAATAGAAGAGCGAAATGGTTGCATTTAGACGTGACTAAAAATAAAATATTGTTTATAAAAATGTTTCTGGTGTTAAGAAATTACATAAGCATTTCTACTTACATCATTGTAAAAAACATTGATCCATATATATATATGTATATATATAAACTTTATTTTAAAAGGATATTAAGATGTAAACAAATAATTTACTTACTTTTGACTTTTCAAAATAATTCTTTCCATCAAACAAGAGCATTTAATGAACATATCCATATCAAGTTTAATATAGGAATCCAAATTTAACAATCTGCGCAAGTGAAGTATTTCGTCTTTCAAATATGCCTCACTGAACACACTTTCATATATTTCTCCCAAATCCTTTGGGAAAAGAAAAGTAATATAAAAGCACTTCTTGTCTTCTTTAATTAAATATTATGCACATAAATTAAAAAAATCTGATGTGTACACCACATGACTTCCTTGTACGGAATATTAAATTATACGCACTTTTTCTTGCATTTCATTTAAACTTATTCGATTGAATTAAGCCTACTTCGTCGACAGCGCATAAACCACAATAGAATAAATGCATTCTTTAAAATTCACTCTATTTGTTTACCATAGCGACACTCTGGCGCTAGGTTTACTTAACAGTATTATATTTCGTTCATATTATAACTCAGAATGCACAAAATTCATATCATTTAAAGAATTATCTAATCGTTGCCACATGTTCTATTCAAATACTATAATAAAGCTAGAACGATGTATAAAAGAAATTAAGCAAAGAAAAAAAAAAAAAAAAAAAAAAAAGAAAAAAAAAAAAAAAGAAAAGAAACAGTTTTTCACAGACGATTGAGTATTTCTCATTCAATTAATTCAGTTTTCACTTCGCGACAAGGCAAAAATACATAAAAACTCAAAATATCTGTATTAAAAATTAGGAAGTAAATCTTAAACGCTTATTTCCTCGAAAAAATTCCAGAAAGGATTAAGCATGATTTAAATAATAAATGAAGGCGTTATCTTTGTTGTTGCGAAGCTAAGTTTCTCTAGATTGGCAACAAATCCGCTACTCAGCTCTGTCAAATGTAAACAAGAGCAATGGCCGCCATCAAATTAGGCTCAGTGGCACTTAAACAATTTAAAAATTGTTGATAATTCTAAACTATTGCATAGAGATTTACTAAAGGAATAAAATTCTTAACCGGAAGATAAAAACAACATAATTCAATCATTTTTAAAGCAAAAAATGTACAATTTACAAACATATAAGAGTAAAGAAACTGAGATCACTGAGCCGGGTAACAGAGTGGATATATTTTTAAATATATTTATATACGTTTGGCGCGGCCGATTGAAACCAAAATACGAGATGAACATCTACATGTTATAGTAGTCTTATATACAAAATTTCAACGTTCTGAGGCTACTCGTTTTTGCGTTATGCGAGATACGTACGTACGCACGTACATACATACGTTCATACAGACGCCACGAAAAATTCTCTTCAGAATTCATTTTAAAGCAGTTTTTTAGTTTTTTTGGAGGAAAAGAGTCTTATTCTGTCCTTACGTACATCACGCAAAAACATCGTTAAATTGCATTCGAAAGCGGTCAAAGTGGATATTTTCGTTGAAATATGCTGCCTGAAGCTTTTCGCGATTACAATACTTCCTTTTTACTTCGTACAAGGAAGTAAAAAACCTTAGCTGAAATATGATAGAAACTTGTTTTCTAAAACCGTTGAAATTCAAAACCCATTCAAATGATGAAGTTGTATAATTTCATTTGATAGATGCATATTCAGTTCATCATTAGATTAATTTGAATTATAATTTTAATAGTCTATTGGTGGGAAGGATAGAAGCAAAAATGTTGCTGTGAGAAAGAGACTGTTACTTAAAGTGATTCAAAATTTTTTTAAAGTTTTATAGTTGTTATAAACTTCACCCAGTTTACTTAATTTCACAAAAATGACTTTTGTTAAATATATTGTCTTGTACTTTTGATTGTAGACTATAAAAGAAATGTTAAAAGTACACAAAATTCAATCTTAGATATGTGTTGATTTTAGAAAAAGATTTTATGTATATTTCTGTAGACAATGCTGCAGATATTTCAGTTCAAGATTATGTATTATGAGCTGACCATTTCGTCGATCTAACAAAATAAATAAATAAATAAAAATTAAATAAATAAATCTTATGTGGACTACACATGACTTTCTTGCACGGCCAATTACGTTATACACAGTTTTCGCTGCACTTCATATTTAAACTCATTTCCTCGAATTTCACTAGATATATTTCTCATTCAATTAATTCAGTTCTCACTTCGCAGCAAGGCAAAAATGCATAAAATTCAAAACACCTTCATTATTAAAAATTTTAAAATACAGAAAAACCTACAATTCCAAACATAGTTAAAAACAGTTAAAAACAGTTTTTACAATTAAAAACAAAGTTTCTAAGCTAAAATAAGTAATTCCGACAACAGACAGGAATTCAAAATTTTCAGTGTACAAAACTGAAAGTTAACAGTCTCACTGGGCAAAAAGACATTTATGTTGGTGAACCAACTAAATTCACTATTCGACTAAGAGTTTCAAACGTAAACAAATGGTGACCTCGTTGGTCCTTGTGCCACTTTTAAATTGTTGATAACTCTACAACTATTGCATGCAGATTAACTAAAGGCTTAAAAACCTTAACCGTAACATAGAACAACATAATTCAATGACATAATTTATTAATATATTATAATACAAAAGCAGAGGTGTATGTATGTATATGTACTACATAATTCAATGACATAATTTATTAATATATTATAATACAAAAGCAGAGGTGTATGTATGTATATGTATAAATATATTTGGTGCAGCCAATTGAAACAAGGGAGATGCGCAGTTACATATTATAGCAGTCCATAAACAAAATTTCGACGTTCTACAGCTAACCTTTTTTGAGTTATGCTAGATGCGTACATACGTACGTACAGATGTCACAAAAAATCCTTCCTGAATCCATTTTACAATCCGTTTTGGGGAAAATAGTCCTTTATTCTGTCCGTGCGTACAGTTGTCGTGTACAAAAGTCGTCTAAATGGATTCGAAAGCGGTCAAAATGGATATTTTCGTTGAAATATGATACCTGAAAATTTTCGCGATTATAATACTTCCTTTACTTCGAATAAAGAAGCAAAATGGGATTATGGCGACGCATGCTGAACGAAACAGAAAATGAAAAGGAAAACAAAAAAGAAAATGTATGAGAAAATGGTTTTAAAATAACTTTTGCGAAGAAAGGATTGGAATTAAAGTCTTTAACTGAAATCTTAAAAAAGATCAGTTTATCAGTTGGAGACTTTTTAATAATTTTAACAGGAGGAAAATTTAAAGAATGTTCTAGAGACCATAATGATTAATTTAGTTTAACCATAATGATTAGCAATTTATCCTTGAGAAATTTTACATTTATTTTATACTGAATTATTAAGAAAAATAACCATATGAAATAATCAGTAATGTGGTAACGTAAATGTGGTTGTGAGACAGTTTCTGTTATAACGTATTGTTTGGATACTGCCGATGTTGTTTACTCAGAACCCAAATTAGTCGAAATTCATTTAACTTAAATGAAGTCTGATATTTTGTGTTAGAAGTTAATTCTTAAAAGTAATTCAATTACCAGTACTGTCAGGAACTCTTTGTGCTTTTTTTTTATATACTTTTCATACTTCTGAGCGTAAACTGCTTTTCGAGTTTCGGTGGCATAACAGTATTTAGTGAGATATGACAGAGGATTCTCTTCTGTAATAGTTTAAAAAAATTTATATGAATACAAATTTATGCGCAAAATATTGTACAAAATGCATTACTATATATTTTTACAAAGTAATGTATGGTGTATTATACAAAATACATTATTTAATAAAAACTAAATTCTATTTTATTTCCTTTTACAGAATTATAAATCTAGTTTTACCTTTCAGCCTTGTCATATCAATTGGTAATTCAAATCGGCAAGCTGAATTGCTTGGAATTACGCGCATGTCGAGATCTTCAGCTGATATTTTCTAGGAAAGTAAAGTACAAAGATATATAGATAATTTATCACCCATTTCTAGGATTTTAATTATCAACAAGTGTGTTTGAAAACTAAGATATAAGAAACTGGATCGGAAGGATTACGAGACATATTCATAAATATTCATAACCTCTTTAAACGCTGTAAACGGCAGTTGTATCGTATGAAGGTAGTGTAAGCAAAATAGGTAGATTTTCAATCTTTATAGTCCTATTTATGATTAACATTAATTAGAACCGCACCAGTTTAAGACAAAAGTATTAATTAGTAATTTGTAGAATCATTGGGTTATTTTGAAGCGGGAAACGTGAAAAATATACAATGCCCTCGCCCGGGACTCATACCTGGACCTCTCGAATATGCGCCTAGTGTGCTACCGCTACACCACGAAGGCATGCAGAAAGTAAGGCGAAAATAAAATGATGGAGAAGATTAATCATGCAGTAAGGATTTTAATTTTAATGCAGTAGGGATTTTAATTTTAATCTTGTTTTTTAGCTATGTTCTTTATGTCTGTTTGAAGGTGTTGTTTCTAGCTTGCTCTGGCGCAGTCCGCAAAAAGGCCATAGGGCGACGTAAAGTCTGCCAGGAGGGTCCGGCTGCGTCCCTCATATCCCATATCCCTTATATACCCCCCTTTAAAAGCATGGAGGTAAGGTCTTACTTCCCACCTCCATGTTTAAAAGGCGACTGGGGATTAGGGGACCCAATCGCCAAATCCTAGCGATGAAGAGTTGCTATCCATCACCTTTTAATTCGGGGCCCACTGTAGAGTCGTTAGGTTACTATTTTGGAACAGGAGACGATGAAAATTGTGCAATGCCCCCCCCCCGCCGGTATTCGAGCATGGACCTCTCGAATATGCTCCGAGTATACTGCCGTTACACCACGGAGGAGTAGAAAGGAGGGCAAAAGGTTTATTTATAGACCAGGTGGATCGGATCGGATCGTATTCCTCTCATTTGTGTCCTTATTAAGTTAATTTTAATATTCTAATAGTTAAAATTCCTGATTATGTTGTGAATCCTGATTATGCTGCGAAATGTACTGCTGCAACTCAAGGGCGAATGGAAGAAGACATTGAGACTTCAGTTTGGTTATTAACTTTGTAAGATTTTCACTAGTGTAATTCTCAGTTAATGTAGAAAGAGACGAATCTTAAGAACTAGTTAGCGAATAATCGCTTAAGTTCGTGTGACAAGAAACAACAAGATGGAAAGGTAACTAACCCTTTATTATTCCAATAAGATTTAACAAAACTCCGTCTTCGATTGTACAATAAAAGCCGACACTTGGGCTTGAACTTAAGAGACTAAGAATTAAACTAAAACTAAGATTAACTAAAGAAATGTAGCCGAAGCTATCAAGATTCTAATCGAGTTGGCCCCTTAACTCTATTTGACTACGAAGCTTATCAAGGGCCTGAGTACGGCCGAACGTAATAACAGCTTTGAGAGAGAGAGTAGCCAAAAGGCAGACGCGCGCAAATCAGAAACTCTGATTCTCTCTAATTCTGCGAGTAACTTCGCGGTTTAAATACCGCTCCTCCTCATTAAATATTCAGAAAAATTCCAAAACTACGTTCTAGCCGGAAGTAGTAAGTTGAAGTTAAGAATTTGACAGGAAAGGAACTTAAAATTTAACTGTTAATAAAATTAACATAATCCTTACGACCTTTAAAATAAATTCACAATAATCACTAGCTAATAATATAAGAAATAGCTAATAATATAAGAAAAGATAAATTTTCCTTTCCCCTGTTCTTGGAACTGCACTCAGATTATTTTATTTCAGGTTTGAATTTAATTAAAAGCTATCAGCGATTTGAAATCGAATAACAAAAGATAAGTTAATTTGTAACATCACCCGAGTGGTGATCAGGTGTGAAAGAACAGTTCCAATGTTGTTCATGCATGCTAAATAAGTGTAAAACGATCAAACCCTCAGCCCGGGGTATGTAGCGGCTTCCCCCCTCTGACGGTCTAACTCAGCCCGTAAAGGGGCGGCGAAAGAATCTGCCATCGAAATGTGGGTGGCTTTCTAGTGTGAATGGCATGAGCAGGTCTTGGTGGTACATTTAACATCATGCACATAAAGATTTTCTCTACACTGGGATCTTGCAGTGGCTGCCGATGATCTTATTGATGTCGTCTGTCGCGGCAGGTTGGTGTGTGCTTTACAGACTGGGACAGAACAACTTAACGTCTTAAGGACAGTTAATTCCCAAACTACGCATAGCTGTGTTCCTGTCTCCAGAGGATTTATAATATGAAGAATAGGTCTTCAAGGTTTGGGTTTACAACTCGGTAGTTTAATAGGTTATCCTATTAAAGCTTCCACTATCTCTAAGTCCAAGGAATAAAAAATCAAACTGCTTTCTTAGAAACAATTTGGAAAGTGGACCAAAGAAATGAAATTTGGATCCTGGATTGCTTTATCTTTACACAAAAGTAAGGTTTTCAACCACTTATTGATCAGATGGATTCTAACAGCAAAAAAACAGGAAAACGAGTCAAAGAAAGGCCCAAGCTTCGTCTTGGCTTACGTTTGGTTTGTACCAATAGATATTTTATTAAAATTGCCAGACAGCCAGAGTTTCTACTCTGGCCAAATGAGAAGCAAAATGATAGAGGTTTGAGGAAAGCGATATTCCATCCTTGGTTATCGTGTCAGTAGAAGAATTTCTAATGTTATCTTTCAATCACCTTTTGAGTATTTGTAATACAATCAATGGATAATGAGAGTCTCTGTTCGAATGCAAAGGATTAAAAATGTGGTATTACAATACTATTATCATTATTTAGTATTTGATTTGTGAATTTTATTACATTTTATTACATGTTGAGTTAGCTTCAAGTATTCAGCCCATTTACAGATCAAAATGTTATTTAAAAGAAGTTATTAGAAAATTTAAAATATACTGTAATCTCTATATGATTTAAAAAAAGAAAATTAAAATTTAAAAAAAAAATGACCGTGAAGATCTATACATGGTCGTCCTGACATCCTGATGAAGGCTGCACGATGAAGGCATGTTGTAAACTGTACTTCATAAAGGTGAAGGGCACTTATTATGTCTTGATGAACAATGATTAACTTGCAAAAAGATGCCAACATATTTAGTAAAGTTAGTTATTATTAACTTATATCTTCACATGGGCGTCATAGAAAGCTGATGAAGGTTACATTCTTCATAGTATAAACTTCAAAAGAGTCCTGGCATCTTTGTGTCTTATTATTGGATCATCCTTGTTCCTTTGCGAACGATGGTCATCTTGCATATAGGTGCCGTTCCCTTTATGAAAGGCCGCGTCTGTCATACCACTCTCATCTGCGCTTCTTAGCAACAATCTAATATTTCTGTCTTAAAAGTTTAATGCTACAATACATGGCACTTCCTGAAACAGTATATCAATTCCGGCGTTAATATGATGAGATAGATACTATCTTTATGGTGCAATGTTCACAGAACGAGTGAATAGATAGGCAAAATAAAGCAGGAACAGTGTTTTATTTGGCGACTTTTTTTTTTCCAATGGCGGGCACTTACCTATAACGGCATTGGCCACTACTAAGGCCAGAAGTGGTGGCCATTTTATTGTAGAGGCACCTACAATATAATTTCCTAATAGGCGGTCACCGTTACCTCCTATGAAGGGACAGACAATTTTACATCCATGCCTTCTCTGGGATTCGAACCCGGGCCCTTCTGGGCAGTCAGGCTTCCCTAACCACTATACCGCCTGGGCGGCTTTTGGTGACTTCAAGTCTTCGAACACGTGGGCAGTCAGAAGACAGAAAATAAACTATGACCAACAATAGATATTGTCTTATCGTTAGCCATGTTACGACCTACTACAAAGAGCGTAGCACAGATATTTATAGCGGGCTATTTTTAAGTGAGGCTCTCAGTACTTTGTTTTGGCATTCATTTCTTTACCGTGTTCTTTTATAAAATGAAATTATATTTCATTTTATTTTATATATGCATTCATTTTAAGACTGTTTGTTTACATATTGAAACGCGTGTCGCTCAGTATTAAAAAATTATTTTACACAAAAATATTTGCCTAAAAGTAATTCTCATTTAACATTTCTGTTCATATTAGATATAAAAGTTGCCAGGCTCGACGCTAGACTATCTATCGCCTGGAGCAAAATCTGCCGAGTTTTAAATTCTGCTGCCCGGTTTCTTTCTTAGTTTTGAAAGTTTTACCGTTCGGCGCGTTTGCACTGGCTCTGGCGCGGCCTTGAATGTAGCCTAACATATAAAGTCGAAGCTGTATTTCTTTCGTATACATATATAATTCTTGGATTTTCCCAAAGTCATCTTATTGCAGGTATTTAACTCTTAAGAACAAGATTTTGTTTACATTAAACATTACTCTTTTAATTCTCGATTAAAAAGTGGTTTAGATTTTTTATACAGGATGTTTCATAGATCATGGAACAAACTTGGAGAGGTGGTGGAGCATACTAAAACATGCATTTTTTGTATAGGAATGTAGGGTCTAAAGTGACGGGTTAAGGCAGGAACGAAAAAAAAAAAAAAAAAAAAAAAAAAAAAAAACTACACGAGAGGAAAATGTGTTTATGTACAAAATCAACGCAGAGTGCTTCTTTGCAGCAATACAGTATTCACAATAAATGTTCAAAAAAGGGAACACTAACAGTAATAGGAACTACAGCTGTGATTGGCTGGCAATGCAGCGGTAGAGGGCGGTAGTGAGCTGGACGATGCATCAGAGGATCATTCGCAACTCTGATGTCGAGCGTGATGGGTGAGTTTACACATAGGAAAAAAGCTGACATGCATCTCATGTATGGTGCTGCTAATGGGAACGGCAGAGCAGCGTTGGTTGTACCAGGTTCCTGGTTGTACCAGGAACGGTTTCCGAACAGGCGTATGCTGAAGCACACAATGTTCGAGATGTTGCATCGGTCTCTGTGTGAAAACGGGCCATTTGAAACCACCTCTGACACTAGGATTGGAAGAAGTGCATGACAACCTCCCATTAAAAGAATCCATCTTGAACATTGTGCATGAATCACTTTAGACAAGTACAAGAGCTATTGCACGTCGTCTGTAGCTAAGTCATTCCACCGTTTGGAGAGTATTGCATGAAAATGGTTTGCACCCATACCATTTGAAGAAAGTCCAAGCCTTGCAAGAGACAGATTACCCTCTTCGAGTTCCTTTCTGTCATTGGTTCTTGCAGCAATGTGTGGCGCAGGCGGATTTCTCATCGGATGTACTATTCACGGACGAGGCAACGTTTTCACAGGACGGTATTAGTAGCCACAACATGCACGTGTGGGTAACTCATAATCCACACGGCACGCGTCCACATGCATTCCAAACCCGCTTCTCCTTGAATGTGTGGGCGGGTATTGTTAGCGACTACCTCATAGGCCCATACCTCTTACCTGCACGTACAAATGGCTTATGTTATCATATTTTTCTGCAAGAGGTGCTACCGATTTGCTGCAGGATGTTCCAGCTATCGTTCGTGATCGCATGTTGTTCCAGCATGATGGTGCACCAGCCCATAACCATGTGCGGGTCTGCAATTACTTGGATGAGACATTTCCGGGCCGATGGATTGGCCGTGGTGGACCCTTTCGATGGCCACCCCCGTTCGCCAGGTTTATCCTGCTTGGATTTTTTTATGGGGCCATCTGGAAAAGCATCATTTATGAGACTCCCGTTGACTCACTGGAAGTCCTCGTTGCACGACTATCCATTGCGGCTGCAAGCGTGCGCGAAATGCTTGTCGTTTTTCAAAATGTTTGTCAATCCCTTCTGCGAAGTTACCAAACATGTATTACTGCTGGTGGTCGCAATTTTGAACATTTATTGTGAATACTATATTGCTACAAAGAAGCACTTTGCGTTATTTTTTGTACATAAACACATTTTCCTCTCGTGTCATTTTTTTTGCGTTCCTGCCTTAACCAGTCACTTTAGACCCTACATTCCTATAAAAAATGCATGTTTTAGTACGTTCCACCACCCCTCCAAGTTTGTCCCATGATTTATGAAACACCCTGTATTATACTATTTTATTGTTAGCAATTATGTAATGGCAGCATAGTACAGATATATAAGCACAAAAAGATATTCTAATGAACTTATTAACTACTAAGTTTTGTATCAACACAGAAAATGTTGAATTAATGGCTTCACAAATTATTAAATAAATTTAATTTCACAGTTATTTATAAAATTCCTTTATGGATTCGAAAATAATTAAAAAGAATTTTATACATACATTTTTCATTTCTTCGATAAATTTGACAACATCTTTCACCAGACACTTCGATTTTATAAATGAGGTAGGAGGACGTTTAAGGACAAGCTAAGATAAATAAAAATGAAGATTATCAGAAAATTTCTCTAAAGAAGTAAAAGATAAATGAGAATAACTGTATAGAAACAAGAGTTTAGAAATTTCAAAACTAAGATTACAAATTATTAATATCGAGCAGTATGCTGTGAAATTAATTAAATAATTAATAAATAAGTCAAAACGAAATAGGGGGTCAGCAGTGTAACAAGAACAAGCATCAAAATTGAAACAAAAATAAAACAACTCTTATCATTTAATTTTCTAACCTATTATTTTAAGTTAAGGTACCATCTGATTTAATTTCCTTGCCAAAATGCAAATTTCCAGCACGCATGATATTCAGATTAGGCAAAAGGAAAGAAGCATTTAAACGGAAGTTCTTGGAGTGTGAAATCAGAGCATGTTCTGTCTTGAAGGCCACTACAATAGCTTTGACTCTCTGGGAATTATAATTCTGCGGCGTTGAGTTGTTCTTGAATTGGTGCGGACTGTTAAACTTTATTTAAGTTAACAAAGGGTTTATTTAATATAAAAAGGTTAATTTAAGTTAAAAGGGTTAATTTAAATTAATAATACACCCTTCTCCAGGCTTTGTAGTGTTTTAAAAGAATTGGTGATAATTCTCTAAACAATCTTGAACGTCACGTACATTTTATGAAATCTAAAAATAGACAATGTTACAACACAATAAAATAAGGTAATGAAAATAATAAGGCAAATAGTTAAAAATTCTTTGGTCTTTTTTAAGGAGCAGCCGAAGAATTTTCAACATAGCAGCTTTTCTGAATTATATCTGGATGATTATAAATTAAAGAAATAATTAAAATGTAAGTGCCAGATAAAAAATTAATTAATTAAAAATAATAATTTACGTCAACTAAACATTTTTATATTAATATATGGCATCAAGATACGATTTGCTCTAATATAACAAATAATACTTTAAAAATAAACAGTGTAAAACAAGAATTCTCGAAATTAATAACCAGAAATAACGAGGAAAACCATTGGGGAGATTAAAAGCAATGGGCTTATAAGATATTTCTCCCGCCTTCCTAGCGTGCCTTCGGGGTTTAGTGGTTCTGCACGTTAGGCCGCTAATCCAGAGGTCCGTGGTTCAATTCCCGGCGAAGGCGTTGCTAATTTTTCATCTTGCCTGCTTCCAAAAGTGACCTAAGGTCTCTATAGGCTAAATAAATATTTGAATAAATAATTGTTGCCGATTGATTTTAATTTGTCCAATGGTTTTTCTGGCTTCTAGTTTCAAAAATTCTTATTTTATACTGGTCATTCTAAAAATATTATTTTTTAGGAATCACATCGGAGCAGATTGTACCTTGATGATTTATTAATTTTTTTAACACTTTATTTGATTGCTCCTGTATCTGTACTATTATTTTACTAGATTTACATTATTATTTTTAATTATTTTAATTAATTTTTTACTTGGTATTTACTTTATAATCATCCAGATATAATTCAGAAATGTAGCTCTTTTGAAAATTCTTCGGCTGCTCTTTGAAAATGGCCGAAGAATTTTCAACTATTTGGTTTATCATTTTTGTTATGTTATTTTACTGAGCAGCTGTTTCGTTTTCGTTTCGATTTTGATGTATGTTCTTTTTGTTAGACTGTTAACACCCAATTTTAAATTAATTATTATTCCTAGATTTATATATTAATAATTTTTTTATTAATATATAATAAGATTAATATATTAATAATTTAAATTAATTATTATTTCTAGATTTATATATTAATAATTTCTAATTTATATATTAATTTATATATTAATATATATTTTTTCAATTTTTATTATTTGATTTGTTTTTGCAAAGATAGCATTATGTTTCTTAATTATCTAATGTTTATTTCAATTACTTTGAGTTTTATTTCATAATTCCAATTAAGATTCCCACTGTTGAATTTTTATACAAATAGTTTTCAATTAACAAGCATAAAAGCGAAGGTGTCGGGGGACATTTACTCAAGTAATTTATAAATTTTACTACATAAATTGCTTTTCACTCAGAATTTGTATTAGCGAAAATGCTTAATTCAGAATGAGTTCTTTGGTACTCTACTTTGGTTCTAAATCCCATCACTTCACGGAACTATTTGGCCTAACTTATTTTGCCAGTTTAGCATAACCATTTTCACTTGAGTAAAAGACGAAACACCTTCGTATTTATTGATTAATGCTCATTGAACGGGAGTTGGTTTGTTCCCCTTGAAAAAATCAACTAATTTTCGATCAATAGCGATAATTACTTGCTTTTAATTTAATTTATTTTTCAAAGTTTGAAATTTTGTTATTCCTGATTTAATTCAAGTCCCCGTAAAACATTTTTAATAATTTACATTCAAGTTACTTTAAAACACAATTTTCGAAACTAAACTTCCTACATATGGGTTCATTCTCTTTTGATACTTCTACTAAATTTATATTAGGAGATAATATAATCAATATTTCTTTAGTAAATAAATTATTTTTATCTTACTTTGCAGCTATTGCGCAAGTATTAGAAAAACTTGTTTCTGAAATAAGTGAATTTACGATGATACAACATTATATATATATATATATATTAGAAGTAAGAGTAACGTTCAAAAGCTTATGCAAAAAAATACATTTCACTCTATAGTTCCTTAACCACTAAGCAGTGCTTAAATTGCGCGGGAGCCCAACGGAGCCCGGCTCCGGTACTTGGTACTTCTTAATTTTCAAAATAAATTACAATTTTAGCGAGAGCGCACCTGAGTCCTAGATAAGATGAGCTCCGGTACTTCTTTTTATAAAGCTGAACTACAATTTCAACTGAAAAAATTTAGAATTCGTAACATTTTAGTTTAACAATAAGCAGACCTTGCAATACTCTGTTTCCCTAGAAATACGAACTTATGAGAACATGAGACGTTCGAGTAAAGTCCTCTCACTCACATGCGGAAACTTTTCCCTTTAAGAAGGTAATAAATTTGCTGGAGTTTGTTTAGGAACGCCTAAATTTCTCGGCATGCCATCGTATCTAGTGTATTGTTATCGATGGTTACAGTTAGTTATCCTCACAGGAAGGAAAATTTGTGTTCTTAAATGTGCGTTAAGTGACAGTAAGAGGGAAATACTGAGATAAACTGCTCAAGCACGTCCTGTACATCGTCTTCCTTACAGTATCCACTAATATAACCAATTGGCGGGGGGCGAAAAGCGTAACCAGCAACTTTACATTCATCCTTAGAAGTTAGATCCAGGACTCATTTTACCCCTGACATACATCTGCTTGATAGCTATAATTATATCAGCAGAGAGCCGCTGTCAAAGAAAACGTTCTCTCTCACCAAGTTTCCCCTCATTTTTGGTTTCCACCCTCTCATACCCTCACGCCCTCATTCTGTTTCGCCCTGTATTTAGCATTATCTGACTTTTCATCAGCTATACTTTAAGGATGTTTAATTTTGTGATGATAAAAGAACATTCCCCCCCCCCTACGATCAGAGCTTAAATTAGGCCGGAACCCACCGGCTCCGGTGCTTCTTAGTTTTTGTAATAAATCATAATTCTAGCCGAAGCGCACCGGAGCCCTGAATAAGAAGACTGCGGCACTTCTTTTACGTAACTGAATAATAATTTCAGTAGAAATTTTTATCTCGAAAACTTTATTTTAACAATATAATTTTATTAAAAATCACTTATTAGATTTTAATTTATCTCTTTACATTTTATTTAATTTTAATTATTTAATTACTTTAATCTTTAATTATTTCAATAAATAATATTTAATTAATTATTTAATAATTATCAATTAAATTATAATTAATTAATTATATAATAATTATTGATTAAATAGCGATTTATAAACATTAATTAAATAGCTATTAATTAATTTGAGAATAATTAACTATTTAATTTTAAAATTATTAATGAGTTTAATAGTCATTTTATTTATTTATTTAGTCTTCCATAGGGCTCCGGCACTTCTAATTTTAGAAATTAAGCTCTGCCACTAAGGTCTCTCTAATTCATGTTGTCTTGCTACTTTTATATATAGATATATGTAATAAAAACTAGGAGAGACTGGTGCATAATTAGAAACATGACACTGGAAGGAGAGAGACAGACGTAGCCGAACTGAGCGTAATCTTTATTGCCAGACACGAACTAATTATCGAAACCGTATTTTTCATTACACATGATCATGAGCACATTACTCACAACGCAATTTTATACAGAGTATCACATTATAAAAAACAGCGTAGTTAGCAGAACGACAAAGCACAGTGAAATGAAATGGATTCCTGCAAGCTAACTGCGTCTTTATTCAATATAGCCAATCTGTTAAGGGAAAGGTTTTGGTTTAGGTTAGAAAAGTTTCAGTTACGTCATCAGCGTTGCGCAGGCCATGCAAGATGGAATAATCTAGAAATAACACAATCCAGAGAAGTTATTATGATCTTTAGAACAACGAGGGAGTATTAAAGGGTTACGGTTAGTTTAGATTATAATTTTGATTTACATATTTTTTATCTTATATATATATTGCCATTTCTGACCTTTACGCTTTGATAGCTTCCTCCTATTTCATACGTGGTTGGCAGTAAACATCTGAGTTGATCGTTTGATTGCTTAGAAGCAGCTCAAACTGGACAACACCTTTTTGATCCCAGCAAATTGACAGCATGATATTTTTCTAATGCAATTTAAATTTCGATATGATTTATACTGATTCATCATGTTTGGAACATGATGGCTTTTAATTAATGTTATTGTAGACAATCCATTTTTCTTCACCAGTTATAATTAGTTTCAAGAAAGAGTCAATTGCATTGCGTTAGAAATGCTTATCGCAAATATTGATTCATTGTGTTAAATGAGTTTCTTTCAATTCATGCGGAACCCAAATGTCGAGTTTCTTAATGAGTCCAAAATATTTTATGTGATTTTCAGTTGTTGCGTACCATACATTTAACCTTTTTGAAATCTCTCGCACAGTTGTATGACGGTTCAATTCAATTATGGCCTTAATTTTGTCATCGCCAACTTTAAGAAGGTGGGCCAGAACGATGACCATCTTCAGGTGAAAAATGTCCAGAACGAAATTTTTTAAACCAATTCTGACACATGCGTTCCGTTAAGCAATAAACACGTAAACTTCACATATCTCTTTGTCAGCCTCAGCCAGTTTCTTGCCTTTATAAAGATAAAATAACAAAATTTGTAGAAAATGTTTATTTTTGCACCCCATGTTAAAATTGGCCGTAAAATAACACATGCAAACAAAAATTGGAATTCGTTTTTATAGTAATCTAAAAGTATCAGCTGCCAAATTTTAAAAGAAAAAAAGTATACGATTGACAGATGGATAATAAAAAGAGCATAATGCTATCTATTTGTGTAAACCGAAATTACTTTCTTGCCAAACCAAAATTTTGCTGAAAGAAAATTCCAGAAATGAAAATCGTTAGTGTCGCAGTTTTCTGTACATTTAAAATTATAAAGCTATAATCATAATAGAGAGAAATTACAATTAGAATGTTAAAATACAGTCAAAAGTCCTTAATCCGGACTCGTCGGGACTTCGGCGATTCCGGATTATCGATTTTTCCGGATTATAGATCATCAGTTTAAATCTCGTAAGATGGCATGCAGAAATTCTAAAATTAAAAATATGAAACCGTAATTTATGAAATAAAGAACAATTATGATCTAAAGGGTATCAAAATTTACACACACACACACAAAAAAAAAAAAAGAAAAAAGAAAAAAAGAAAAAAAAAAAAAAAAAAAAAAAAAAGAAAAAAAAAAAAGAAAAAGAAAAAGCTTAATATTTATTTGTTTACTTTATTAAACATTTCTTTCAATGTAAGTTGTTTAAGTTGCTTCGTTTTATGTGACAATACTTTCTCTTTAATTCTATAAACAGAAATAATTTCTTGTTCAGTTACAAAGTTCCGCTGTTCAAGTCCCGTAATTGCCGTGCCGAGAATACCGACTAACTTGTCAATCGAAATTTCTTCGTTTTCACTAATCTCTCTGTCACCTTCTTCATGTCTTTATCTATTTTTTGCAGCAATTCCACTTTTTGTTTGATGGACATCGAAACATACTTTCGTTTTGTAGATCCTTTGGGAGCTCCAGCATCGGAAATTCTATTTGACATAATCGAAAGTTCAAGTTTACTTTTATAAAATTGCTCTTACAGTCTGCAAAAAATAATAAGCCGGATCCAACTCGAAGATTAAGGAACAACGCAATCATGAACATTAACTGAAATAGATAATTAGATAATTTTAGCTTATACCGTCCGTTATACATAAAACGCGCACGCGAAAACGTATTCTGCGTATGCGCAGTCGTGAAGGTCTTACGCACACGCGTAAACGCCTATGCGCATGTGTCAACGCGGCGCATGCGCAGAAAGTTTTTAGCTTTGAGGTCCGGATTATAGATCATTCCGGATTATGGGTGTCCGAATTAACGACTTTTTGACTGTATAGGAAATTTTTATGGCTTAAAATTATACCTTAAAGTCTTCTTTTTCATCGATGGCGGTTTCATCATTTTTCGCGTTCAGGTCTTCAAAATTATTCTTTTCCTTATCATCAGCAATTTCTTCTGCTTCAGCAGCAGGTTGAAAAATAATTTTTTCATCGTCAGGTTCTGAGTCGGGAGCACTTCCCTTATCTTCGATATTTTTTTCAACATTGTTAGTTTCAATATCGTTGTTCTCACCATCAATATTGACAGTTTTTTCTTCTTTCCCGTCTTGCAAATCTACTGGATTCTGTGCTTTGTTTGAGACTTCTTCTGTTTGCTGAATAATTTCTCTGAAAATATAGAATTGAATTTTATGATTCCTGAATGCGTTTCTTAAATTAAATTTAATTTGAGTGTAAGGAACAGTATAAATTCAAAATTACAACGTTGTTTATTTATCATTAATACCCTGTTGTACATATTGCACGTGCTTGAGAATTTACTTCTTAATTGCTGATTTATACCAGGGTAATGAATGATTCAATAAACGTGGACGTATCAAAGAAGATCTAAAATTACTAAAATAATTTTATCCAAAAACATCAATAGATAAAACTTTATGTGCATTTTTAGTTATAAATTAAAATGTTCTTGTTACAAAGTTAGATACTTGGGTCGTATACCTGCGGAATAAACTACTCATGTAGAAGTAAAATCGTGAAATTATTCATTCAAAATCAGGCCGCTAATGACCAGAATGGAAAACAAGCAACCGTTTTGAATAGCTCGATAATCTTCGAAAAAATAAAAAAATCTACAAGATCAAGAATTCAAAATTTCAGTAACTTGCATGTATTCTCAAAGAAAAAGACTGAAAAATCCTTCACAGCGAAGACTTCAGAAAATATTAACCTTGCTGTCGTTGCTGCCTGTTATTTTAGATTTTGAATTGAAACTGAAAATAGTTAATATAGAAAATTCGGTACTATTCCGTTTTGAGGACTGTAAAAAAATTGCACCGAAAATGTATGCGCAAAAGCGCCAAATCTAGCAAACGCGTCCATTTAACAGCGCGCCAAATCTAGCGTACGCGCTGATTTCAGATTGCGAAAGTTTATATAGTTCTATATTTCTTAAGACGCCGTAGAAATACTAGTTTAGTTTTTAAATCCTTTTTTTGATTTTAAATCCTTTTTTGATATCATATGGATTTAACAATTTGGGAATTGCCCATGATGAAACGTCTGCAATAATTTTGGTTAAAGTGGCAGAATCACCCACTGCTTGACGCGTTTTTAAGAATTGCACATACTCGGTATCTATGTACACGGCAACCTATTTTCACTTAAAAAAAATCCCAGAATTGCACAAAAATGGCACTGCGCACACCCTTAACTTTATGTATGTACACATCGACCTATTTTCACTTAAAAAGTAAAAGAAAATTTACAAAATTCCAATTGTTTTTAACCCTTGTAAAACGCGGCAGACAAATAAGTGGGCGATTCTGCAATTTACCGAGAATTTTTTCAAAGGAAAAGCATTATTCATTATAGAAAATTATGTTTGAACAATCAACGAGATGAAATTATGCTTTAGCGATAACTCGGTAGCGAAATAACGATGCAGGCATCCATTCAGTTATGTTTAGCAGTTTTTATATAAATTATAATAATGATCTAAAATAGTTATTTACTCTAATGCTTCCATTCAGTATTGTTTAGCCTTTTTACTTCCTTGTACGAAGTAAAAAGGAAGTATTGTAATCGCGAAAAGTTTCAGGCAGCATATTTCAACGAAAATATCCATTTTGACCGCTATCGAATGCAATTTAACGATGTTTTTGCGTGATATCTGTACGTAAGGACAGAATAAAATACGCTTTTCCTTCAAAAAAAAATTATAAAACTGCTTTAAACTTACTTCTGAAGAGAATTTTTCGTGGCGTCTGTACCAACGTATGTACGTACGTGCGTGCGTACGTATCTCGCATAACTCAAAAACGAGTAGCCTCAGAACGTTGAAATTTTGTATATAGGACTGCTATAACATGTAGATGTGCACCTCGTATTTTGGTTGCAATCGGCCGCACCAAACGTATATAAATATATTTATATATATATCCACTCTGTTACCCGGCTCAAAGATCTCAGTTTCTTTACTCTTATATATTTGTAAATTGTACATTTTTTTCTTTAAAATGATTGAATTATGTTGTTTTTATCTTCCGGTTAAGGATTTTATGCCTTTAGTAAATCTGTGTGCAATATTTTTAGAATTATCAGCAATTTTAAAGTTGTTTAATTGCCGCTAAGCCTGTTTTTAATGGCGGCCATTGATGTTTACATTTGAAACAGGAGACTAGTGGATTTGTTGCCAATCTAGAGAAACTTAGCTTCGCAACAACAAAGATAACGCATTCATTTATTATTGCCAATTAAATCATGCTTAATTCTTTCTGGAATTTTTTGAGGAAATAAGTGTTTGAAATTTACTTCGTAATTTTTAATATAGATATTTTGAGTTTATTTTTGCCTTCTCGCGAAGTGAGAACTGAATTAATTAAATGAGAAATACTCAATCGTCTGTGAAAAACTGTTTCTTTTTGGTTTTGTTTGCTTAATTTCTTTTATACATAGTTCTAGCTTTATTATAGTATTTGAATAGAACATGTGGCAACGATTAGATAATTCTATTCTTTAAATGATATAAATTTTGGGCATTATGAGTCCGCACTATCAGTCCGGCCCGCCAAAGAAATTTTTGGTACTTTCCCGTTTCAAAGTCTGCTTGGCGCAAATCTCGCCAAGCAGACTTTATTGGCTACAACACACAGTATATACATAAAGAATGTTAACAAATGTTAGTTCTAAGAAATTTTTATTTTGAAGGCATAAATAATATCGTTTAAAATTTTGTAAAAAGATTATAAATAAAGACAATAAATTTGTAAAAAGACATTAATTTAAGAATTTACTATACTTTCATGGTACAACATACTGATTTGCCGTTTCATATCACGTGAACCCAAGTGATGTCATCTCATGTAAACTACGCTATAAAAATATAATTCATTCAGTAATTATCTACATTAATTTCGAGTTAAATCTTAATTTGGAATACAAGTTTAAATGCAAGAATTATTTCAATTCGTACGAATACCTTACTCAAAATTTAGTGAAACCTCTCTGTTTATTTCGCTAGTGCATTCTCATTAGAATTGATAAATTTAACCCTTGACTTTGCCTTTTCTATATTTTCGCCTTCGGGTGAGCGGTATGATTGCATTTTAATTACCGCGAATGGCCTTAGGGCATAAAATTGAACTATCTGGTAAAAATTCTATGTAATTGACACACTAACTAACACTTATTTCTATGTAATTCTATGTATTGAAAGAAACAATCAATCTGATAAGAAATGGCTGCGCTTGTTTTGAAAATGAGGCGTGAAAGGTTACCAGCGAAGAAATTCCGTTTGCCATCGGTTGTACCATTTTTGGCGACTTTATCGCTTGCGCTGGTAAAATAGAAAAGTACCGATTTTTTTAAATGATCTTATAAAATTTAAAATAAGCAAGAGAGCATGCACATTAACTATTTTACATAGCAATCAGTTTATAAATAATTGCCTATCATCCACGTTCTTTATTAAAAATGCATAGTAAATATTACATAACCTTTTCTAAATTTATGATGAGGGAAATACAGTAACATTCTATTAATTTTTTTTTTTTTTTCCATTTTACTTTTTATGAGAATAAAGATGTCGTGTGTTATCTTTGTCTACTTTTATAGTAGTATTAGGTTTGTTCATAGAAATTTTCAGCAGCACTTTTAGTTTAGTAATCGAGGGCTACGTAATTCGCATATTAAAGTCACATATTTTGAATTATAGGAATTTTAATTGCCGTTAATTGAACTTTGGTTTTCGTTTGTTGGCTGTTCTAATTAAGCGTTGCCCCGTCGCTTCCACGAAGTATGTCTAGCAAGATAAATACTCTTTTCTTTTTCATGATTTAGAGTGTAAAGGTAAGAAAGTTATAACTGATTGGTGTATGAATGAAGGTTTAATTAGTTCTGCTTATGAATGTCAAGTTTGTCTTGAAGTCAACGAAAGATGTGCGTCTGGTCAAGCTTAAAGATCAATCGGATGGTTGGTTATGAGTGGGTCTGTCGCGAGAAAGGTAAAGGTGCTCGAAACTGGCGCTCATACCAACTCCATCGGGGGCATGTGGAGACACATTAAGCTCAAGTTTCGCAAACGAGGTCTTCAGCAGTCGGCGAAAGATATTTTGTATTCCTACTTTGCAGAGTTTGTATGGCATCACCAATACTGGGATCAGGAGAAGAAATATCAATTTCGGGATTGCATGATTTGTATTATACACAGTCCAGTCACATTAATGTGACCATCTGTCAAAAGCCAGAATAACCACCTTTCGCAGAGCGGACTGCTGCGAGACGTGCAGGAAGAGAGTCACATAGGTCCCTGAAGGTGTTCTCTGGGATGTTGAGCCATGTCGACTCTAATGCCGTGGCCAGCTGCGCTAGATTACGCGGTTGAGGATCCATGGCGCGAACAACTCGATCGAGATGGTCCCACAGATGCTCGATTGGGTTTAAGTCAGGTGAGTTTGCTGGCCAGGGGAGGACGGTAAACTCATCCTGGTGCTCTTCGAACCACGCACGTACACTGGCAGCTGTATGGCACCTCGCATTGTCCTGCTGGAAGATGCCATCATCCTGAGGAAAAACAATGCGCATGTAGGGGTGAACATGGTCCGCAAGGACAGATGCGTACTTGTATTGATCCATTGTGCCTTCCACAATGATCAGTGAACCTAGAGAATGCCAGGAAAACATTTCCCAGACCATAATGCTCCCGCCTCCAGCTTGGACCGTTCCGGCAATGGTTGCAGGGTGGTTCCTTTCAGAGGTTTCACGCCTTATACGCCAACGTCCATCTGTCCGATGGAGCATAAAACGCGATTCATCCGAAAACGCAACCTGTCGCCACTCAGTGGACGTCCAGCTGCTGTACTGGCGTGCAAATTCTAGCCTTCGCCGTCGATGAACAGCAGTCAGCATAGGTGCACGAACCCGGCGTCTGCTTCGGAGGCCCAGACGCAGCAATGTTCGCTGAATAGTACTTTGGGAGACACTTTTGGTAGCCCCTTGGTTCATTTTGGTGGTCAGTTGCTCAACGGTAGCCCGTCTATCTGCCCGAACGCATCTCCGCAACCGTCGTTCGCCTCTGTCATCTATGGCCTGTGGTGCACCACATTTGCCACGTCGCTGATTTTGGACAGTCCCATTTTGCCATGCACGGTACACTTTTACCACGGCGG